GAGAAGAAAAGAAATTCTCACTAAAACTCGTTTTTGAATATTTAAGTTGTTTAATTGATTTTAAATCATCCTGAATAAATAAATATTGAGAGAAAAAAAAAAAGTTAAAAATTGATTAATTAAAAACATACAATAATATCTTGTTTAGATAAATCTAATCTTGATTTAATATTTGAATTCCAATAAATTGATAAATTATTTATTTGTGCTAACTAAATTATTAAAATTAATAATCTTTACAAATAAAAAAAAAAAATCAAACTTTATAGATTATTTTCGAATCTTCTGTCGGTTCAAAATTTTCCCATTGATCATTTGTTGTCTAAACAAAATAAGAAAAGATTTTTTTTGTTATTTCTGAAATGTGAAAATACATGAAGTTTAATATAATTAAGTGTAATTCCACATTGAAATGGATAAGATTTTGTTGTTTTATCATCATAAGCAATATGAATATTATTTATTTCAATTTCAAGATTTCTAAGAATATGAAATTGCAAACGTTCGAAAAATGTGTCCTTATGATGAGGACTTTGTTTATTTTTTTCTAAAAATAAAATAAATAAAATAAAAATAAATAATAAAACGTGATAATCGAACCAAATAATTCTCGTTCACGACGAAATTCTTCAACTTTCTGAACTTGTTTCATTTTTGATTCATATTCTTCTTTTTCCTTTCGTTCAACATCATAATTAACATCTTTTACAAACAAAAAATAAAAATGAAAATTTTTTTTCTTTCTTAAACAAACCAGTTTTTGGTGTAACAAGTAAATAAAAGCCATCAAGTTCAATTTTCGTTGGATGTGTATATAAATGTTTCCACGGAATATGAATTCGAAGTTTTTCTATATAATTAAATAAAGATTTATTTTAATAATTTCATATATATATAACATACCAAGATAGCCAGTAATTATTTCAAGTGGAACATTAAAATCATTCTATAATAAAATTATTTATTTTATTTTGAAATATAAAAATTTCAATTTACGAGTGTATTGGTTTTTAAATGAACATTTTCAAGAATAATATCACCTTAAATGAAAATAATTTAATCAGATTAATGTAAATAAATGTCATACCAGCCCATAAATGAAGTTTTAATTGATGAGAATCGATATCTTCGATATAATTTCCCAAAAATTTATCGATAAAAATTGCTGCCAAATGTTCGAATACCATTATTAATATTTACAATTTTATCTTAAATATAAACATTTACTTTTTTCTTGAACAATTTTATTGAACGAATAAAAAGATTTGCTTTTCAAATATGTTGCAATTTAATTTAATTTTAAATCTATCAAATAGATATCATTATGAACGTAAAACAAAGGAGTCACGTTAATATAACACGTGACAGATAAATATTATAACATTTATTTACTTTCCTATGATCATTTATCTTTATCGATATATTAAACAAGAATTTTATTTTATGTCTTTTATATAATACTTTCGAATATTTTAACAGCGACTATTGGTGTTATGCGAAGATGAGCAAGTATTTACTTCATCTGGAATATATATAGATTGCGACACGTGTAGTCGTTTTTTTTTCTTTCTGTTCGTTACTTATTGGCAGTGAGAAGAATAGAAAAATGTTCTGAGATAGAAAGAAAAAGCTTTTTTTTTCCTGTTCTATCAATGATAAATAGTAAAGAGAATAAAAAGTCGTAGAGTAGAGCGGAGTTATTGGATGTATACTAGATTTACTGCCGTAAACAATCTTCAGAAAGCGCGCTTTGCTTAGATGCAATTTTAAAAGACAATAATTTTGTTCAACTGGTTTTTTTCCTTTAGTACTCATCTTCCATCCCTTGCTCTTTTTTTTACCTGCATAAACGAGTCATAAAGTACAATTGTATCAGATACTCGTTGAATTTTTTTAAAGTTTGAATTTGGAAATTTTATGATAAAACGTTTCGAATGTCATTATTTTTATGCAATATTAAGGGTGTGGGTGTGGGTGTTGCCCTGTTCTTCCTTAACACTCGCACCCATCCTCAAACCCGGACTCACACCCACTCCGACACCCACACACCCACACATGAGCGATGCTTTTTCCCTTTCGCCGCAATGTCTCTTAACGATATTTTTTTTGTTCTAAAGCACAGGAATTCTAATGTATTTGTGTGTATGCACTTGACATCGAAGAGTAACATAAAATTTCTATATGTACGTGTGAATTCATTAGGTTGCTTCGAAACTCATGCAAGTAGAGATGTTTTCGAAATTGTTGCAGTTAGCTGAGATTTAGGTTAAAAGTTGTTATCTGTTACTAGCATGGAGTCAAGACTTCAATATCAAAGGTTAATCTGTAGCAGATTAATTGTGGCTTTACCTAAGCTGATTGTCAGAGCCAAGCATCGTAATGATTCATAAACAGTTTGTCTAAGAAGTTCAGTTTACATGGTGCTTTCTATTAGTTTTTCAGGAATCAAATGATTTTTTAGAAATTGGTTGAATTTACGCATGGCCATGTTGAGGGTAAGAACAAATTATGCATATATTTTAACAGACTCTAATCGCTCTAAAAGAACTGAAAAACAGAAATTCATTCCACGAAAAATTCGATCACGATCGATCGAACGAAGTTGTGTATATTGTTAAAGAAACATGTTCAATCGTCCTCAAATTGATTTGAATCCGGTACGCAAATGTAGACTTTTTTCAGCCATTTCTACCTCGATACATTACCGCTAGTTCAAGTAAATAAATTGATTCAGGTATTAATACTTTATCAGAAAATATATCTAATCGATAATTCAATTCCCATGAAAGCCATCGTCTTTGGATTTGAGCTAATAGATTACCTTGAGATTGATCAAGAATATCTGTTGTCCACGAAGCTAGTTTACTGATCATTGATAGATGATATCCATTCCATTCAATTGAATAATTTGTATAAAATAATTGATATTGTGGAATAATCATTCCATGGGACCATTGTTTTGAAGTTCCATTACGAATTAAAATTTTTGCTTCGTATGTTGTTTTTTTTGCTTTTACTTCAAGGTTCGTAAATCGATTACATACCAAAATTCGAAAAACACTTTTGAGTGCATAAAAACTTAGTGACATTGACATCAAAGCATCACAAAGTATTCATCAGGAAGTTAACTGCATCATTTGTCTTCTGTCTAAAGGGACCTCAATAAATTAAAATAAAACAGCTTTTGATAATCAAAATCTCCAACTATTATACGTGTTTTTGTGTTTTCTTTGGAAATGACTTTATTCTTAAAAGTATTAGTTTTTTCTCATAATAAGAAAAATCTTCGAAATCTGCTTGTCTCATTTCGTATATTCAAACAACTCACTATTCAAATATAGTCACATAAAAACCTGGATAGCAAAGCACAGAACGTAATTTTGTCATCTCAACGCGTTTGAAACTATTTGCAACTATTGGAATGGCTTCAAATGATTTTTTTTCCTTAATAAGAAATTAATTTTTTGTTGACCAATCGATCATTAGTGTTGTTCCTAATATGTGTTCAATAAATGCTTTTTATTTCCGAAATCTCGTTGATAACTACACGATATTATCGCTTCACTTATTAACCGAGTAACTGTAGTGCTTTTTCTGTTCACGCAAGTTTTTATTCTTACTTTTCTTTTAGCCTTATGTAATTGAAGGATTAACTATATTTTTGCTTCTATTATCTACGATGCCTTGTTCTCCTGAATGCGACTAATACTCATATTACTCGTCAGAGAAATCATAGCGTTATTATTAACTAAAAAACAGGTGAGAAATAGGCGCATGTAATATTTTTAAAATAGAAAAGTATTCATTATTTGTGTAGATAAGCTTTGAATTTTTAATATACTTCAACTAAACCATAAATGACCATATTTTCACCATTTTCATACCGATAGGTTACTTGAATAACAAGATGAATATCAAACAGCCTGAAACGCCGAAATAAGAAGCTTTTTTGAATGAAAAAACGTGCAAGTGTTATACGATAGACTCTTAATAGAAAATTGTTGGAGCAAATAATCTCTAATAAAGAATTCAGATTTGTGATGATATTCTTTCTTCACGTAAAGCAGATCCAGTCTTACCGTCTTCAATAACAACATTTCGGTTGAATCTCGACAAGACCCAAAGTTCCTTGTTTTTTTTATTATTTTTCAATGAGTTTTTGCACTGCAACAGGTTGGTTATTGAATAGATCTTTTTCTTAGTCCTAAAGAATTCAATTCGAAAAGATTTTGTATTTTTCGACTCTTCAAAGAAAAATGGATGACTTACATATTATTATTTTTATGTGAGTGAAAATTTAACAAGGATTTTTGTTTGGAGCTTGCATATGACATTTTGTTTCTTTTTAATCATAAATTAACTGTAAAAATATTAAATATACTCTCAGTATCCATACATCATGCTTTGCATTGTTATGTCTATTTTCCAGAATATCAAGACTAATTTGTGAATAATGAAAACTGCATTGACAATATTTCCATTCTTCTTACTGTTTTCTCTATCAACATCACTGCGTACTTCCAAGGATGTACCATATCAAAGTCTGATCGTATCACAATCAATGGATAACTTTGGTAATATTTTACAGGGAAGATTGATGAACTCCTCGTCAGGTCGCTTTTGGCAATGGAGAAATCTTACCGGCGATATGAGTTCCGGTATTGCTGGTATTACTGTTGCAAATAACTATAAAAATATTGCTATCGGTTTGATGAGTAAAAGTGGACTGTTATCTTCAAATGGCCATTCTTTTTCGATATTAGCTACCGATCTTAATAGTTGTCATTATGTCGTTATTTTACCGACTAAAAATATAATGTTATATACCGATGCTCATCAACATATTTATCAAGTTGATCTAATTACGAAGAAACAATCAATTTTACTCGATCATGTTGGTGGATCAGCAGGTACTCGTGGTCTAGTCTATGATTCAATCAATAATTGGATATATTTCTCTGGTGTACAACTAATGCGTAGTCGTCCAGATGGGACCGAATTACAAAATATAACTCAACATTTAAATTTAAATAATGAAAAATTAGGTTTTCAAATTGCACTTGATAATCATTTCGATCCTAAAAATCCTCGCGTCTATTTGGCATTTGATGGTGGTCTTTATATGGCTTATACTGATGGCAGTCAAGAAAAATTAGTATACTCATCTTCTGCCGAAACTAATTTTGTTGGTCCATATGGTGTTGCGATTGGAGTAGATCCTTTTGATAACAAACGGTATATATATTGGTGTCGTGGTCGTCGATCAAAAGAAGCCTATCTCGAACGTTCAATACTTGACAATGATGGACAATTAACAACAATCGAATCGTTATGGAATGATAGCTCAACAAAAGCAGGACAATGGCTCTATGCATTAGCTTTAGTTCCATGGAAATTTCAATAAAGAAAACACAATAAATCATGAATGACGAATAAATTCTTTTATGAAATGAATTTGAATAACTTGGTTGAATCTTTCTTAAAAATAAATTTCGAATTCTTCATGTAAAATTAGATAGGACCAATTTTTAATAAAGGAGTTAATTGTGTACATAGTATTTGTGAAGTGAAAGAACATTACAAGTTTTTACCATGAATATTCTATGATGGAGAAGTCATACACATAATGATAAAGAATATAACAAACCTTTCATGAGTATTCTTCAGTAAGAACTATCTACTAGACGGAGGGTGTGGGTGTGAGTGCGGCTCTGGATAAATTAAAGATTAACACTTACACCCACACCCACACACTGTACCAACCATAGAGTCCAAATGGATCCCATTTATGAAGCAAATTTTTATTAGTAAAATATATTGTAAAATTGTTTTCTTCTCGGTTAATTGAAAGCTCTACCGCCGGTAAATTGTCGGTATACCGGTGGTAGTGTGAATAAATGTACGACATGGACATACAGCATCTCAACAGAAGATCATTGTGTCTGTTTACAACAATAGTTATTATTTCCCTGAAGCGACACAAAAAATGGAGTATCAAGAAAACGAACAACTTTCTCATACGTTCTTAGACCTCAACTAATAGTAGAAATTTGAAATGATCTAATTTAGTTCATGATGCATTTGTTTTATTAATGATAATATTATACTGTCAGAAAAGCATCATAATCTTTCAAAAATAAAGTTTTTTCTCGCAACGATATTCCTCTTTGTGATGTGGACATTTAACGATTGAATTCTACAGTTAATAATGAAAATAGAAAGCATCAGAATAATTTTGATGTATTGATGAGAATGGAAGTCAATTTAGAAGAACTATGCACCTGCCAATAAAAGTATTATTGGATCAATTTCTTCAATTTAGTGAAGAACATGATCAATGAAGAAATCGTTATGATGAAATGCATTGTGTATGTTTCACATAAATTATTCCTATAAAAAAAATCTAAAATTTCTCTTTATTTAGTGTATGATGGTTGATTTAAATAATTGAAAATCTTGATTATCAACGTTTTTAAATAAGACATTTTATCCGAAGGATAAAATGCATTTATAGTTATAAAGTAAAAAGGCACTAGTAAGATTTCTATTATCGGTTTACGTTCACGAAACTTTTATCTACATATTGTTCTCGGTTACAATAGTGAACATATTTTATTATAAAGTTTTAATCCAAAAATATCCGTTGATAAATTGGTTGTTTTGTTTATAGAAATGTGATCTTCTACTTTTTTTTATTTAATTAATGACATTGATACATGTGCAATATTGAAATGTTCTAGCTAGCATAAAATTCAAGATGTCATAATCGTTCTTGAACTTGAATACTTCTTTTCAGAAACGATTAATCGATAATAAAATGAAAAAGTTCAATTTTACTGTAAGCAGGGTGCGGGTATGGGATGTATGGGCGTGAATGAAGAGAAAAATCAGATTCAGATTCATATCTACACCTTCACTAAAATTAGTCTAAATAATAAAGCAGTTCAGACCACAATGCGTAGACGATCGCCATTATTCTGCAGATTGATATTAAGTACCCATGGGAATGGGCATTTTTGAAGATCAATGGGCAATTCATATGTTTTATTTGAACGACCATTTCGTATTCGAATAAGCCGACGATAACGATCCAGTTCAAACTCAACAGTATCGTTCACTCTATAGTCGCTGACATACTCTTCGTAATTATTAAAGCACTGCCCATTTATATACACTGCATCCTTTCCAGCTGCCCAACCATAGGACGACTGCAAAGTGCAAGAATTGTGTTGCATCCGAGTCGATTTCGAGTTAATACCAAAAAATAGAAATCCATTAGAATACTGTTCTATCTTCATTTGAATTTTGTGTATATCACCAGAATATTCACCTTTACTTCGAACTTGCGATATTTGATTGTTGTTATTATAACCTACAGCAACTAAGCCTCCATCTTGAATTTGTATGTTGCCATATACATTCTCGAATTTTTTTCCTAAAGTCTCCAAGTCTTTCACCTGAATTTTTGCAATAAACGTCCCTGGCTCCTCTCCCAATACCACAGAAGATGGAGATACAAAGTTCTCCTTAAGTTGTTCAAGTTGCTCCATCCATCGTTTCAAGTCTCGCTCATCATATATATTGTCTTGTTGAGCCTGGTGTAGTCTTTCAGTCATTTCTCGAAACCGCGTCGAAATGTCTTTGATATTTGTTTCGGCATGTTTTACAATCTGTTGACGAGCTTCCTCTGCTGCTTGCCGTATCTTAGCCTTATATTCCTTTTCCCAAGCATTAATGCGACTTATCAGTTCGTGAGTGCGAAGATCCTTCGCCGTTTCGATCAGTGTTTCTTGAAACTTATTGTGTTCGACCCCAAGTTGCTCTAATTATTTGGAAAGCTCATTTCGATGATTGCTCAAGTCATTAGGACAAAATTGTTTTTCACATCCTTCAAATCGATAAATGCCAATAGGGTTGGAACAAGTTCCACACCATGGTTTTGAGGCTGATGAAGGTCGTAAGCATGGTTTTGACGAAGCGGTTGCCATTTTTTTTGTTCTTTCAACAATGAATTTGTTTTGAAAGCAGAAGAATGACGACTGACGCCTTCTTGCAAAGGAAGTTGCAAATATTTTCATCAGCTTTGTTGGAAAAAGAAAGAAAAAGTTGGCTGTTGTGCGACGCCGTTAACAAGGCTGGACAGGGTGTGGATGAGCGTGGAATATGAATGTGAGAGTGGATGTGGGTGTCGGTAGGATTGGAGTGGGTGATGATGTGGGTGTGAATGCGGGCATTGTTTTGAGACAATGGTGGCTCAAAAAGGCGAGTATGGAGTGTGGATGTAAGTGTGGGTGTGGGTAGGTGTGGATGTAGGTATGGATGTGTGGGTGGGTGGCTGTGGGGAGGAGTATATTGAAACTCATACTCATACCCACACCCACACTCTCGGGTCCGAGCCTTCCTACAGATCTTCCAGCGGTCCTAACCTTCAAAACTTTACTCCTCTGAAGATAAAACATATACCAATCGATAGAGCTCGTTAAGCTGCATCGAATGAGCTAAGATTCAGATGTGGCTCAGTTTATGAAGCGAATCGTCAGAGGAAATTCGGACCCAAAGCCTTGCTACAGACCTTGCAGAGATTCTGATGACCAAAATTTCATTCGTATCAAAGTGAAACATATACCAATCGATAGAGCTCGTTGAGCTACATCGAATGAGGCAACTTGCAAAAGTGGTTCAGTTGGTGGAGCGAATTGTCAGAGGAAAAACTATTTTTTCGATTTTTCTCTATGAGAAAAAAATCAATGTCTTTGTTTTCATTTCGGCTACTTAGCTTTCAGAAAAAAATCTGAATATGCCATTCGATAGGGCTCGTCGAGCTGCATCTGGCTCACTGCGTCTCCGGTGTTGCTCACTCAATGGGGCAAATCGTTTTGCGAAAAACTCGAATGGCTGCTAACTTCTCTTACATAACCCTTTCCGACCGGCTGTTGCCAAATGGCAACATTGAGAGACTGTTTCATCAAGAACTCTTTCAAACTCATGTTAAATATCAATCTTATACCCATGATAATTAAGCGCAAACATGTTGCAATTTATTCATCTTTCATTCAAGATCCACACACAGTGTTTTCTCAATATAGCTTCATAAAAGCTGAACACCTTGGAAAATCAATATAACGATAAAAACCACTGTTTTGAACATCTAATAAGGTTCAGCTGTGGAGCCATGTACCCTAAAATTTTCCTTGATAGATTAGCAATTGGAGTGTGGGTGGGTGTGGGTGTATGTGTTGGTGTAGGTGTGGGTGTGGGTGTAGGTGTGGGTGTGGGTGGGTGTGGGTGTTGGGTGTGGGTGTGAATGGATCGGTGTTGGTCGCCATAAAGACAAGAAATAAAGCCACACTTACACCCACACCCACACACCCACACCCACCCACACCCACCCACATCCCCAGCCACCCCATACCCACATCCACACCCCACCTACACCCCACCCACACCCACACCCACACCCATACCCACACCCACACCCACCCTGTCACTACGTAAAATTGTATGTCGTATTGTTTTTTCTATTTTTGTTACATGTTATGTTCATGCAAAATTATTTAAGCAGTTAATTTAAATCACTAATATAAGATTTCGAAAATATCAGTAAAAATGACATTCATCTGCATAAAAATGTCGAAATTATCGACATAATGGAGGACTAAATTAACTGAAAGATTACGATTTAGCACACGATTATCGTTCCGATCGATGACGATTAATCACCAATTTTTTAGCGATTTTGAGGACATGAATCTCACTCTGAGAGCATCTGTTTGAATTGAGCATAAAATACCTTGAAATCTGAGATATCTATGTCGTCCGTTTTGATGTGATAAAACAATACAATTTGATGCCTTTACAAAGATGACTCTCCTTCGCGCTAAAATTTCTCGGTAGCCCGAAAAATTTTTCGACTCGTAGTTGTCCAATAATTTTCAAAATAATTTCATCAAGTTCTACAGTTTAATTTAATTTTTCGAACTTCGTCAAGGCTGATGTCAAAGGAAAAATCTTTTTCAATAAGTTCGTAAGAAATTTTACTATCGTGCACAGTATTAAACCATAGAAAGTGGTGCATAAAAAATTTTTGTATAAAAACACTGAGAGATGCTCCAAAGCTGTCAAGTAAGAGTGCCTTTATTCTTTGATATCCAAAATTATACATAATTGAGCGTTGACCTAGAGATAAAATGTCAAGATTCAACTTGTACTCTTTAACTTTACTTGGAATAATATCTATTGAAATACATTACTTTCATTTTTATAAAATGAAACAACTAAACAAAGAATTTATCTTTTAGATAAAACAAATTGATGAAATAAACTAACAATATGTTGAAATTCTTCGAAATTATCATATAATACATATGGTTTATGTTGCTCATTTTCTTTCCATTGTCTTATACAAACATCAAAATCATCTGGTGCATGTTCAATTGATGAACTACGTAAATTTAAATTATGATGATGTAATTTAATTGTAGGTAAAAGATTTAATGAAAAACATGTTTTATCCATTAATAACGATGCTTGTTTAAAAGTTTGAACAAATAAAATATCTAACATGTATTCATTAGACCATTTTTCTTTTGATAAAATTGATTTTAATAAAACATATTCATCTTCTATTTGATGGCGTTTTTCTCTATTTTTAATATCTAAACAAGCATTTTTCCATTCAAATGTTAATTTATTAATATATTCTTTTTCTTTTTCTTGATCCCAATAATAATCAATATCTGCACAATTAATATTTGTTGATTGGAGACAGTTGACTAAAGTTGTTTTTCCACCACCACCAGGAACAATAATCAAAGCACGTATTTTATTATTAGTTGTTTCTGATTCATTAGTTATAATAGATGATAATAAATCTTCTGTTGATATAATATCACTAGCGTGTTTATGAGACATTTTATCAAATTTTTTCTATTACTTTTTCAGTTTTCAACGTCTAATGTTAACATTTATAAAATATTTTTTTTCTTCTTGACAATATGATAAAAATATTTTTCTTTTTCTTTTTCCTTTAAGCGAGATGAGAACGGAGAAGCAGTATCGAAAGAAGAATTAAAGTAGTTAATAACGATAAGAAGTATATTTTCTTTCTTTTCTCCTACTGCATGCTGCACGTATATACATAATATATACAATCACGTACTGTGTGCATGATTACATTATTCTACATAGGACAAATAGCGATAAAAACATTCTTTTGGTCCAAGATATTTCTCAAATACAATTAAATACTCCGAATCAGTACTAGATTATTTTTACTCATATATCATCAAATGCAGAATTTGATGACAATTCTCAATTTTTTGAGAGTAACGTAACTAAACAGTAACAGTAACTTCTGTCTCCTACTTAGGAATACGGAGTCTATCGTTTCTTCCTTAAAACTGACGCATGTCAAATAATGTATTTACACAGAAGAGGTACATATAAATATTTCCAAAGCTATTTAACTATAATAAAACCTGCACACTGTCACCAATCGACCACATTCGTTTGTGATAGAAGAATTTTGCCGTTCATTTTTATGGCATGTAAACGATTTGGACAAGCTGATTTTTTAGCTATTTCTCTAGGGAAATATACAATTGCCATATCCAACAAATCAAGTATGTGGTGCCAAGTCAGCCAAGAATTGAATACAAGTGTATTTTTTCTTCCGAATGGACTCTTTAGACAAATATTCAAGTGCTTTTTTCACATTTTGCTAATGTTCTATGATTGTATTATTTCGTCTCCAAATCAATTGCTGTTTAAAATTATTTATGAATGGATTTTCACACACCGTTTCATATTGAGACTCAACTGATCCAAACGAATTACAAATACGACTCACCTTGTGCTTAGTATTATCATTAATTTCTACATTATCTATTGTTCCCGGTCGATTCAGTTGATAAGAGAAACAACAACCTTTCTGAATAGAGGCTAGTAATCCATTTTTTGTATGTAACATGATACGCACTGTGGGTTTTGGATTAACCTGATATTGAGAATTATTCTTAATAATAGAATCAGTGACCACAGTACTTATTGGAGGTTGAATATGAAATGAATATTTATCATGTTCGAACCAATAGGCATATGTTATAATAATCGCAAACTGTGAATAATACGTTTTTGAAGTCGTCATTGTCTGTTTAAATGCAGCGTCAAACGTCTTATCATGTAGTTTGATGACATATTGTCTTAAACTTTTCAATGTGAATTTGTATACATAAACAGGAAATGTGAGCATGAAGTTAGCAATTTGAGTACGATTCAAGAAGAGATGTGTCGCTTCAGAAAACATTTTTATATCAATACCATGAGCTTTTAACTTGAAGTCACTATCAGTTATTACAATATTTAATCTTTGTTTATAGACAATATTACTATGATTATACTCGGGAAATATCGACTCTAATGTGACTAAAGTTTGAAATTGAGCATCAGAATCTACAATAGCTAATATTTGTGGCGATTTCAATCCATGCATCATAGCATATTTATCTGCGTAAGTATCCAAATAGAAAGTCGCCCATTGTCGAAACTCGTACATAGGAGATCTAATGCGACTATGTCTGTTGATCTTCTGCATACTTTGCATTGTTATGGATGAGACAGATTCAACGATAATTTTGGAAAAAGGCCATATAAATTTACAATTTGTCTCCATAATGCGAATCGAAGAAGGTTTATCTTCAATAATCCAAAGTAATTCTTGAAATAAATATTCATTCCAAAACATTTGTCTCGATAGACTTGACTTGTGATAATCACAATGACTGATTTGTGTATAAATTCAACAAACCAATCATCCAGATAGATGGTAAAATAGAATATTTAGAAGATGCATTCAAAGAACTTGGAAATGGATTATTGTTTATGTTATGAATACAAGAATAAACATTGCGTTTGATAGTATCAGTTAGTGAGTAGATAACAGAAAGTATAAAAATCGACACTAGAATTCCTCCAAGTATTGTTTGTCTAATCATGTGAGAAAAATATCAGTGAGCGTGGCAACCTAAAAAGAACATGATGTAGTCGTTTGATCTATATTTAAAGTAGATTCTAGTCGACTTAGGTCCAACCGATACCCCTATGAAATATATTTATGAGAGACTTGTAATAGCTAAAAACATGTTGAAGATACATGTCCAATCAATTTCTACTAGAGATTTATAGTTAATCATGATCAATAAAAAACATTAAAATCGCGTCAATTAATAAATTGTTTTAACTTTGATTTTGATTTCATACAACCAAACGAACATTGTTCTACTATTTAATGAATTTTAACTTAGAGTGACACAAAATTTTGTCTGAGAATCAAGTATAGTTTTATCAGATCCCTGAAAAGTATATAGCGTCCTCCGATGAGTTGCTTACCAGATATGATGATCATCTTCCTCTAATAGATAAAATACCTGAAAAAATCATGTACAAATCGGGAATGAGCGTTCAATGGTCAACTTGCCTTCCTGCATTGCCTCAATCATCTCGCGCATATCTCAATAACAAAACATTTCAAAAACAAAAAAAGGTTGTATGAATAATATTTGCCGTCAAAATACATTATTTTCTAGTAACGCCGCAATATCTCAAACATCTATAAGTCAAAAAATTTTATATTTGAAGACTAGATAGCAGGAGTAATAGAGATTCTTTTGAAGTCACGAACTCATGAATCGACTGTACCATCAGAACAATTAGAGAACTACAGATCGTTTTGTAAATCAAAAAAAAATGAAGTTGAAGAGAAAGCGTTAGGTGGGTGTGGGTGGGTGTGGGGTGTGGGTGGGTGTGGGGTGTGGGTGTGGGGACAGATGAAGAGATGCAATATATCCACACCCACACCCAAGTTCTAGATGTTCTTTTGGAGAAAGGGTGTGGGTGTGGGTGTCTGTGTGCGTATGGATGTGGGTGTGGGTGTGTGTGCGTATGGATGTGGGTGTGACTGGGGTGTGGGTGTAGTAAAGAGAAGATACGCACACTCACACCCCACCCACTCACACTCACCCACATCCACGACCACATCAACCCACACCTACACCCACCCACACCCCACCCCACACCCTATACGATGGTAGGGAGGGAGTTGAAAAAAATCAATAAGATAGGCAAATTGAAAAAAAAATATATGCGTCATTACTTATAGGACGATAGTTAATAATATGTATATGTAAAGAAAAAAGAGAACGACCATGTATTAAAAGAATTGAATACTAAATGAGTCTCGAAAATATAATCTACGTAAAAATCTGTCTTGT